ATTTTATTTTATTTTATTTTATTTTATTTTATTTTATTTTATTTTATTTTATATTTTATTTTATTTTAGGTTTTTCAAGATAGGGTTTCCCTGTGTAGCCTTGGATGTCCTGAAACTCACTGTATAGACCAAGCTGGCCTCAAACTCAGAGATCTGCCCAGCTTTCAACACCATTTTAAAGTCTAAAGTCCAAGTCTCTTGTGAGAAGCAAGGAAATCTCTTAACTCTAACATCCTGAAAAATCAAAAAGCAAATTACATACTTAGAACATGTAATGGCACAGAATATGTATTATCACTCCAAAAGCTGAGGGCTCGTGTCTTAAAGGCAAGAGGCAGAGAGAGCACACTGGAAATGATGGGATCCTTTTGAAGCCTCAGAGCCTGCCCCTGTGGTATACCTACTCCAACAAGGCCATTCCTGCTAATCCTTCCCAAACATTTACATGAACTGGAGATCAAGTATTCAAATATATGAGTGTATGGGGGTGTTCTCATTCAAACCACTATAGGTTCAAATGGACTTTTAATTTTGATTTGTTATATGTCAGTGTTTGCTTTTTTGAACTAAGATCTCACTGTGTAGCCCAGCTGGCTTTCGGCTCAATCCTGCTATCTCTGCTTTAGCCTTCCAAACGCTGGAGTTACAAATATACACTGTCTTCCTAGCAGTCCCCTAGTGCTGGGGGTGGAAGCCAAAGCCTCATACTGGCTAAGCAAGCAAGCACTCCTTCACTGAGATGCCCCTGCCTTTCCCTCGCTGTCTTTTAATGGCTTTCTTGTCCTAGGCCTGGAATATAGCCTCTGACTGACTGCTTATTTAAAGGACCTATGTTTTGTTTTGAATAATTATATCTATTGTTATTCAGTCTTTTGTCACCTAAAGTTTTGTTTTGTTACATGTTTTAACGTTTCCTTAAATTTATTGCTAGGATAAGGATTCTTTAAGGAAAAGAAAATCTGTTAGTGGCTTTAGAATGTTTTTATTACATTTTATTTATTTGGATGTATATGTAGGGAGGATAGGTGCCACAGTGCACCTATAAAGGCTCAGAGGATTTCTTGTAGGAGCCAGTTCTTTCCTTCCATGTGGGTTCCAGGCATTGAACAGATCCTCAGGCTTAGTGGCAGGTGTGTTTACCCAGTAACCATCGTGCTGGCCCTATAGCAACATTTTTTTGTAGTGCTGTACTTTGAACCCAGGGCTTCAATGCATGGAAAATACATATTCTAACACTGAGTTACATTCATTGTCACCTTTTTTTTATATAAAAATTTCTTTTATAGATTACTGATTAGCTAGATCAGTAGACTGAAATTTTTGTTGTCTAATATAAGAAAAGAATCATGTCATTTTCATGTAGAAAGATTCCAACAATTGGTAATTGTTTATAATAGTCAGATGTGTCATTTTGATGACAGTAGTATATTAAGTACTGGGATAAGGATTGATTATTCTTCAATAAACAAATAAGATGACAGCTTGGTGAGGTGGCACAGGCTAGCAGTATCAGCACTCAGGAGTCTGGGGAAGGAGTATTGTGAGTTTAAGACCAGCCTGAGTCAGGTGCTGTGTTGCATACTTTTAATCCCAGCATTGGGGAAGTAGAGGCAGGCAAATCTCATTGAGTAGAGGCTGGCCTGGTCTACTTCAGGAGCTTTAGGATAGCCAGGGCTATGTTGAGAGACATAGACCACAACATCAGAAACGTAGCTCATGGACCTGAGAAGTAGTTTAGTGGATAAGGGTGCTTGCCACCAACCCTGATGACCTGAGTTCTAGTCCTGGGTCCCACATCGTAGAAGGAGAGAACAGAGACAGAACAGGACAGAGACAACTTCTACAG